CGCTGAGATAGTCTTCAAAATCCCGTTTTTATTCATTTGTTTCGTATAAAGTTTACGGAGCTTAGCAAGCGTTGCCAGAAATAACCAATGCGTTCTCGCTGACTGGGAACTTCTCTTCTTACCACTTTTATTAGCGCTTCTTCTTCTGTTTTTTTTCGTTATCAGTACGGCCGTTTGATATTATCTTTCGTTGGGAAGCTGTCTTAAAACTAGGCCCCAGCCGAAGCTGGCCCTAACCAAGATAACCCATTTTACGTGTTATTAATGAGTTATGCATTGGATAATTAATGGATGCCCTTTATTCTGTCTGGGCAGAAGCGTCACAGTTGGATAAAATGGCATCACCTCGTCACGGATGAATTGCTTCCGAAGCGTGAACGAACTAAATGGCCTTAGGATCTGAGTCGAAAGTAGCTCTGAGTAAGATTGTTGGAAAGAGGCACCCCTCTTTTATGGGCCCGCAGGAATCGGTAGGTATGCCAACTACGAGGTGGGGAAAAGAAGGCCTGAGATGGAATTGACATTGGAACTCTCCCAATTCGGATATGCCAAATAGGTTGAACGCAATGCCTTCACGCTTACAGGTTGCACCGCTGCTGCAACAAACCTGTTCTATTTTGCCGTCTCTACTGCTCATTTGATGACTTTGTCGAATCATTCTCTCCGCCGACCAGTTGATTTTAGGGCGGCCTAATGTTTTGGCCAGCGGTTCAGATGCTTTTCCGCATTCTCTGCCCATTTTCCAGCAATCGGGAGCCATTTGTTCAACTGTATTACGGCTTTCTCACACGGACTTAGTGAAAGTGTCATTCAAATTGCGAACAGATCCACTCTTATTGGAGAAAAAAATTTCTCGCTCTGACAGTCTAACCCAGAGCAAAGTCGTTAAAGGCAGAGAAGCTCAGGTTAGCTCGCAAATAGAAAAAAGCTTGAACCCGACTAGTTTGCTAGTCTGCCTTACTCAACCTCTAACTTTTGGTTTATTTAAAGTTAACTTGCCATTAACTACACATCATTATTACTTTTCCAAAAATTGCTAGTTAAGCTCACATACCCTATAAGGACGCCATATGTAGTAATTTCGCAGTATTTCGCTGGTCTATATAAATATAATTATAAAAATCAGTAAGAACCCGAGTCATCTTAGATCGTTTAACCTGGCCTTATAGTGCAATTCAAGCCAACTCAGTCATACCTCTCAAAGAACTTTCAAATCTGGGCCGAATCCCAGGCTCCACCAGAAAGGAATTTGAAATTGGTTCTAATAGATGGAGTGGCAAGCCAAGTATTTTACAATAAATATTTTTAATGTGGTACCGGTTTCGATAATGCATTTGAGCATACTGCTGTGTATCGAAGCTGTAGACTTAGAAGCTGTAAGATTATCCGATGGCCCCGAATACTACTCACTATTCAGACAGTAGCAAATTCAGGCTTGCCTTAACGAAAACCGTGATTCTATCTCCCCGAGGGCTGTGGTTGTGGCGTAATAACATTGCCCCACGAGACACTCGGCCTAGGTTTAAGTCCCGTTGTCGTATAGCCTGCAACTCGACCTGGATGGGGAGGCAAGGCCTGATGAGGCCTTTTATTCGTTTTTTATTGTAGGGCAATGCAACTTTAGGTCTTTACCATACCGTAAATTATTCAGGTTGTCTCGGTTTCTTATAAAAATAAAACTGCTTATTTGTCGTGATTGCTAGTTTTAAAATGCCTATAAAAAATCTTGACTCGCCAGGCATCCTTTCGATGTGTGGCTAAATTGATAAAGTTTACTCTATTCGCGTATGGATGTGCTCATGTTTTACTTTGGTCTTATTCACCGAGCTTTCTTTGTGCTACAATAGTTGGGCCAGGCAAGAATGGTACAGAGCACTGGGTCCGAGAGTTCAGCCAGTGCAGGGTCTGGACTGCTGAACTCTTCGGAGGGCGGGAAGGTTGGTGAGGGACAGTAGAG